TGTTTCATCTTTTGTATTCAACCACTTTGTATCTTTATGTTTTATATGTCTCCTTAAACAGTGTAATTTTGGATTTTGTTTTTAATCTAGTGTGAGAATCTTTGACTTCCTTTTTTTTTTTTTTTTTTGAGATAGTCTCGCTTTGCTGCCCAGGCTGAGTGCCATGGCATCAGCCTAGCTCACAGCAACCTCAAACTCCTGGGCTCAAGCAATCAGCCTGTCTCAGCCTCCCATAGTGCTAGGATTACAGGTGTGAGCCACCACACCCGGCCAAGAATCTTTGACTTCTAACTGTCCTGCATGGAAATTGTTGGACTTCCTGAATATGTGGAATGATGTCTTTCATCAGCTGAGAAAAATTCTCAGCCAAAAATCACCTATTTCATTCTCTCTTCTAAATTTTTTTTTGTTTTTTAGACAGTCTTGCTGTATCACTCCAGCTAGAGTGCAGTGGCATCATCATAACTCACTGCAACCTCAAATTCCTGAGCGCAGATGATCCTCCTGCCTCAGTCTCCTGAGTAGCTAGAACAACAAGCAAATGCCACCATGTCTGGCTAATTTTTTCTATTTTTAGTAGAGATGGAATCTCACTCTTACTCAGGCTGGTCTGCTGCCTTGGCCTCCCAGAGTGTTAGGATTACAGGTGTGAGACACCGAGACCAGCCTCTTGTACCTTGTGAAACTCAAATTAGATGGTCATTCTTGCTTTATCTTCTGTTTTTTAATTTTTATATGTTTTTGTTTCTTTGTAATTCTAGAAAATTCTGGTTTACTCTAGCTATGTGTAATTTGCTATGAAATTCATCTACTGACATTTTTATTCCAATTTGTTTTCCATTTTTAGAGGTTGGGATTAGTTCTTTTTTTATATCTCTGTTTGGGGAGCTACTTTTTATGATCTTGGCTTACTGTGCCACTCCTTTATTTTCTATACCTTATGATAACAATACTTAAAATCTTTTTTTACTTGATTTGGGCTATTTGTTTCTTCTAGCTCTTATTTATGGTGCCTTGTTTCTTCTTCTTTTTTTAATCTTTGTATAATAAATTCATCTTCTTTAGAACTTTGTGGAAAATCTTTGAGTCCTGGGTTAAAGATATTTTCAACAGGTAAAACATTTGATTCTTTAGATGTTAGGGCATTACTTAATCTAGAATGACTTTAAACACTAGCTCAAGGTTTGTTTCAGTGTTATAATGCTGTATATTCGACAACAACAACAAAACACCAAATGGAGCCTTGCTTATGGTCATGGATATTAACGGAAGATTTCTCCATTCTGCCTCTTCTAATGCCGTGGCACTGAGTATATTTTAAATGTTTTAAAATATATTTATTGGCCAGGTGCAGCAGCTCATGCCTATATCATAGCATTCTGGGAGGCCAAGGCAGGAGAATCTCTGAGCTTAGGAGTTCCAGACCAGCCTGAATCAAGAGCGATACCCCATCTCTACAAAAAAAAAAAAAACATCAATTGGCCAACTAATAGATATAGAAAAAATTAGCCAGGCGTGGTGGCACCTGCCTGTAGTCCTAGCTACTCAGTAGACTGAAGCAGGAGGATCACCTGAGCCCAGGAGTTTGAGGGTGCAGTGAGCTATGATGATGCCAGTACATTCTAGGTGGGGTGACAGAAGGAGACTGTGTTGCAAAAAAAAAAAATTATGTAAGTGGGTCAATCAGGGTATCTAAGTCTGCCTTACTCCTGCAAGTAAAGTCCCTGTCATAATTTTTCCATTTATGATAATTGTCCATTTCAGGTTGAGGGGAGGATTTTGAAAATTCTTAAATTGTGGTTTAAAAACATATAAAGTTTATCCTCTTAACTATTTTTCTCCTTTTATTTTTAGTTGACACGTAATAATCGTACATATTTATGGGGTACAGAATGGTATTTTGATACATGTCTGCAATATGTAATGATCAAATGAAGGTAATTAGGATATCTCTCACCTCAAACATTTGTCATTTCTTTGTGTTTGGAACATTCAGAATCCTCTCCTCTAGCATTTTGAACATAACACAATAGATTACTGTTAGCCACATTTACCCTATAGTGCTGTAGAATACTATAACTCATTCCTATCTGCCTGTATTTTGTATCTATTAACCAATCTCTCCCAATCCTCCCCCCACTCACCCTCTTCAGCCTTTGATAACCATAAGTCTACTCCCTACTTCTGTGAGCTCAATTTTTTTAGCACCCACATATGAGTGAGAACATGTGGTATAATATTGATCTTTCTGTGCTTGACTGATTTCATTTAATGTAGTGTCGTCCAAGCTTCATTCATATTGCCACAAATGGCAAGATTTCATTTTTTGTTATGAATGAATAGTATTCCATTGTGTATGTATGGGATATATACCACATTTTCTTTATCCATTCATCCGTTGGTGGACATTTAGGTTGATTTATGTCTTAACTACTGTGAATAATGCTGCAGTAAACATGGAGCTTCAGATATCTCTTTAATATGCTGATTTCCTTTCCTTTGGATAAATACCCAATAGTGGGATTTCTGGGTCACATGGTAGTTCTATTTTTAGTTTTTTGAGAACGCTCCATACTATTTTCCATAATGAGTATACTAATTTACGTTCCTACTAACACTGTATGAGAGTTCCTTAACAATTTCTTTAGTATGCAGTTCCGTAGTAGTAACTACATTCACTTTGTCATGTAATAGGTCTCTAGAACTTTTTCATCTTGTAAAATTGTCTGTTTCATTTGATTAAATTGTTCTGTGAAGTATGAATATGTCAAAAGGTTAGAGGTAAAAGCAAAATACTGAAATTATCTGCCCATTCTCAACAGGATTATAAGTGACTTTTTCTTAGTTTCTTATTTTCTTTTTGTCTTATGATATTTTCCAGTAAACATGAATCATATCCTTGGAAAAAAATGGTTTTAGCTATTTAAAGTGTTAGATAGAACCGTGTTAATTTTTTCATGGGAAATTTTTCTTATGACTTTGAACTTAGAAATTAAAAAGGTATTGGGCAAAAGACCAAAATACATTATTTTGTTGGTGCGTGATTTTTTTTAAGAAAGATTCTTACTTACCTCAAGCTTAATTTAGTCTCATAATTTGCAGCAGGATTAATGTGGTTTTAGCATATTTAATTAGCAGCTTTCCTAGGAATGGCTGAATCCGCCATGATGATAATGTTGATGTATAGTCCTCTCAGTTTTCAGCCTGACTTCTAACATCTCACAGTTTAAGGCTTCTCTGTATGGGCCAGGTGAGGTGGTTCACGCCTGTAATCCTAGCACTGTGGGAGGCTGAGGCAGGCGGATCCTTTGAGCTTAGGAGTTCGAGAATGGCCTGAGTAAGAGCGAGACCCCATCTCTACTAAAAAAATAGAAAGAAATTAGCTGAACAACTAAAAATACATAGAAAAAATTAGCTGTGCATGGTGGCACGTGCCTGTAATCCCAGCTACTTGGGAGGCTGAGGTAGGAGGATCATTGAGCCCAGGAGTTCGAGGTTGCTGTGAGCTAGGCTGACGCCACAGCACTCACTCTAGCCTGGGCAACAAAGTGAGACTCTGTCTAAAAAAAAAAAAAAAAAAAACTGAAAAACATAGTAAATATGAGTTTTCAAAAGATTGCTTTGGCTCTCAATCATGTATTTAAAAAAAAAAACTGTAAGATAAATTATTATATGAGAAAAGCAAGGTACAGAAGAACACTGTGGGCGATATGGCACCTAGTGTAAGAAGGGGGGAGGGGGATAAGAATATTTGCTTGATTTTATAAAGTCTAGAAAGTCTCTTTCTGTTGCCCAGGCTAGAGTGCCGTGACGTCAGCCTAGCTCACAGCAAGTAAAACTCCTGGGCTCAAGACAATCCTCCTGCCTCAGCCTCCCCAGTAGCTGGGACTACAGACATGTGCCACCGTGCCCACCTAATTTTTTCTATACATTTTTAGTTGTCCAGAGAATTTCTTTCTATTTTTTTTAGTAGAGACAAGGTCTCGCTCTTGCTCAGGCTGGTCTTGAACTCCACAGCTTAAAGGATCTGCCCGCCTCAGCCTCCCACAGTGCTAGGATTACAGGCCTGAGCCACCGCCCGGCCTGTACAAATTCTTAATCATACTGGTTATGGAGACAGTTATAATTATCACTATATAATCTCTTTTTTGATTTTTTTTTTTTATCATGGGAGTATTAAGTAGCTTTTGAAAGTAAAGCACTGAGAACTTAGAAAAGAAACTGACCTTATTTTCCCACATAAAACAAGAATGTAATAATAACTCATGTATATAGTAATTATTTTATTCCTTAAATTTGTAATAAGCAACTATAGCACAATAGGCTAATCCTCCCTTCCTTCCCTTTTTATAAAGAAAGTTGTCTTGGAACACAGCCACAGGCGTTGGTGTACATCTGCTTTCCAGCTACAATGGCAGAGCTGAGTAGTTGCAAGACACCTATGGCCTGCATCATTTATTCTCTCTTTAAAGAAAAGTTTTGCCAACCTTTGTTTTAGATCTTGATATTTTTACTTTTAGTCATAGAACACTTCGTTCAATCTAATTTTTATATGGACTACTATTAAAAAATACAGCTATATTTACTGAAGTGAGGTTATAGGGGACAGGTTGGTTGAACCCCTCCTACTCACCTGCCTCCCTCTTTTTTTTTTTTTTTTTTACCCTCCATTCTCCAGCAGCTGTTTCTTGAGGGGAGTTTGAGGAACCCCCCGGGTTCTAAGGAAAACAGTTTGAAAATGGCTGCCTTACAACAACTCTTGAGGTAGTAAGTCTGATATTATTTTCTATATTAGGTATTGAGAGACTTGGCTCATAAAAGTGAGTTAGTCAAGGTTTAATAAGCAACCAGAACAGAAAGCCAATCCAGGGGTGATTAACTACAGAATAAATGGTCATGTTTGCCTTTGTATTATGTTTTATATTGTCATAATTCTGTATTCTTATAAGATACTTCAGTGGTCATTGACTTTTTTGTCCCTATTTTCTTGTTTCACATAGGTTTTTGTAAGGCAAGCTTCCTTCCTTTATTAGAATTTGCCTATACTTCTGTGCTAAGTTTTGACTTCTGTAGCATGGCTGATGTAGCCATCTTAGCTCGTCATCTTTTCATGTCAGAAGTCTTAGAGATTTGTGAAAGTGTACATAAACTCATGGAAGAAAAGCAGCTAACGGTATATAAGAAGGGCGAAGTTCAAACAGTCGCATCTACCCAGGACTTACCAGTACATAATGGAGATACAGCATTTCCTGTGGCTAGCAATGAGGGAACCACAACAACTTTAGCTCCTCAACTTGGGGGTTGTGAATTTGTACTCCTGGTAAATGGAGATTTGCCAGCAACTGAGCAGAATGGAGAGGTAGAACGACAGCCTGAGCCCCAGGTTTCTTCAGAGGCTGAAGCTGCTCTGTCATCTGTAGGATGTGTAACTAATTCCCATCCTGAAATGGAGTCTGTTGATGTAATAGCAAAAAACAACCAGACAGAACTAGAAACTTCAAACAGCACTGTTTCTGATATTCATCCTAAACTTTCAAAAGAGAATGTAATCAGTAGCTCTCCAGAGAACAGTGAAATGGGAAATGATATATCAGCTGAAGATACCTGTACTGAAGAAATTCCAAAACATAGGCAAAACCTTGGCCAGCCTTTAAAAGATCAGGAAAATCTAGTTGCACCAACAGCAAAGACAGATGTTGCTCCTGATGATGATTCTTACAGAAGCAAGCTTCGACAGCGTTCTGTTAATGAAGGAGGATATATCAGACTTCACAAAGGAATGGAGAAAAAGCTGCAAAAACGGAAAGCCATTCCCAAGTCTGCAGTTCAGCAGGTATGATGCAAAAAGGGTTGACCTTTGCAGTTTTAGCTTTAGATTGAAAGCATTCTATTAATGAACTTGTTGCTATGGTGAACATTATTTGGGACAGGAGATGGATACAGCAACTTAATGTTTTAAATACCAATATTAATAAGATGTGAATTAGAAATATTTTATTATGCATGACTCAACTTTAAAAATCAAAATGAATATATTTAGATTGCGTTTTTTATCCCTTAATTAGGTGGCCCAGAAGTTAGTTCAAAGGGGAAAAAAGAGGAAACAGCCAAAAAGGGATACTAAAGAGAATACTGAAGAAGCATCCCATAAATGTGGGGAATGTGGAATGGTTTTTCAGAGACGATATGCCCTTATAATGCACACACTGAAACATGAAAGAGCTAGAGATTATAAGTGTCCGGTAAGTATCTGGAAAGCTAGTTGAAGATGGCTGTAACATCATATAAATAGAATGCAACTTACTGCTTGATTGTTGCCATGTCATTTGCATTCAAGACAATAGTAAAGGGAGATCAGGAATGAAGCTCTATGTACCAAGCTTAGGGGACAACCAGTCCAGGTGGCAACAGGACATCATGCTTTGATGAAGATTTCAGATAAGGTGATATGTTTTGAATCTCCTCTCAGAAGATAGCTGGTAGAAGGGTTTGATGATGAATTAGTAAGTAAATACAAAGAGAAATAAGTTAATAAAAACAAAAAGCAAGAAAGGAAAAAGAATCATAATGTATCATATATGGCTCAGCTATACCAACATTTGCATCCTAGTATTGTATGCACTAAAACCTAACAATGGTTTCAGTGAAATTGATCTGATCAAAAAAAGTAACTATTTTGATAGGATAATTGGAATTGTTTATGTATGTGCAGGGAGTAGAGATGTGAAGGAGAGAATCAACTTCATTGTGCATGCTACTTAGAGTTACAAAGAGAGGCATTGAGAGAGTAAAAAAAAAATGTTAACTTCAAAAGCAAAAGATGGTAGAGATGGTGAGCCAGGAGACCAGTGTTACCTATTATTTCAAAAAATAGGTTTTGTAGATGGTGAGCATATATTCCTTTGATTTTAAAAAGAACAAAAGCTTTCATGAATCACCAGCCAACCACAGGATAAAATCCAAGGACCATTAATGTCTTACCTTTCTACTTTTTCCAAACCCTATTTCTGCTCCACCTAACAACTTTTATTACTTACATTAATGATACTAATGATAGTATTATTCTTTGTGTCCTCTTCTTTTAAGATACAATTCAAGCTCCAAACTTGTTAATGATGCCTTTCCTCATTGCTCTGATTATCCATCTTCTTAAATATTTCATCTTTTTACATGTAGATCCCGTTCGTTAGATTTTAAGCTTCTCTAGAGTAGGTCCTTAGTCTTACCCCTTCCATTTCTATAATCTGGTACCTAGCATATTGTCTTTTACATAGTATGTGTTTATTGATTTGTATAATTCTAACAGAAATGGAAAATTGAAATGAGTCAAATTTCACTTAACATTTTGCAATGGAAATACATTTAGACAGAATTTTGTTTACTTTTTCTTTTAGTTGTGTAAAAAACAGTTTCAGTACAGTGCTTCCTTACGAGCACATCTTATCCGGCATGCCAGAAAAGATGCACCCAGTTCATCCTCATCCAATTCCACATCTAATGAGGCATCAGGAACATCATCTGAGAAGGGCAGAACCAAACGAGAATTTATATGCTCCATATGCGGAAGGACATTACCTAAATTGTATTCTCTTCGAATACATATGTTAAAGCACACAGGTGTAAAGCCACATGCATGCCAGGTAAAGCCATAACATTTATTTGTGTTACTTAAAGATTAGAACTTAATTATGGAATGAGACTGGTGGATATGTATTCTACAGTCACCCTCATCTTGTAAGATATCGGAAAAATTTGACTTCTTTGGTTTGTTGCCTAGATAAAGGGTGATTTGCTTTTGTGTTTAGTTTGCTCTCTGAAGTTGTAATTTGAAAGTAATCGTGGCTGGGTGTGTTTGGTGGCTCATGCCTGTAATCCTAGCACTCTGAGAAGCAGAGGAGGGAGGATCGCTTGAAGTCAGGAGTTCAAGACCAGCCTGACCAAGAGCGAGACCCCCGTCTCTACTAAAAATAGAAAGAAATTATCTGGACAGCTAAAAAAATATATAGAAAAAATTAGCCAGGCATGGTACTGTATGCCTGTTGTCCCAGCTACTCAGGAGGCTGAGACAGTATTGCTTGAGCCCAGGAGTTTGAGGTTGCTGTGAGCTAGGCTGACACCATGGCACGGTAGCTCAGGCAACAGAGTGAGACACTGTCTCAAAAAAAAAAACCTGAAAGGAATCTTTATTAAGTTGTTTGTGAAACTTATTAGGGTCTAGAGAATGTACAGGGTAAGAATAACCAATTTATCATCCTAATCTTTCTTTAACCTTCAGTAGGACCAACTTGGACTGGAAAAGGAACTCGTGGTTTAAATCTCCTTGGACAGTAAAAGTCTTGTCTAAGCTATGTGTTCTTCCCTAGAGCTGAAGATTGAGGGTAGCTAAGTGGCAAAATATGGATAAAGAATCCTGTGATTAGCCAGGTTTGGGCTATTTAGAATAGTGAAAAATTTCTAGGGGCACCTGTAGCCTGCCTTACATATAAGCATGACTCACTAAACAGTTTTGAAACCAATGAGATTTTCAATATTTCTCTTTTTTCTGCAGCTTTTTATTATATAATAATAGACTATATTATAAGAGAAGGAGATGAACCCTCATGTACCCTCACCCAGCTTCGATAGTTATCAGCTCTTGGTCAGATATATTTTATGTATGCTGTCACTTACTACCCTCCTCCCACCCCAGTTAGTTTGCAACCAAGTCCTAAGCATCATTCATAAATTTAAATACCAAGTGCAGCACTACTGAAAATGTGTGGTCCATAGAAGATAAGTACAGAAATAGAGAGTAAGCATATAGAATAGCAATTTAATATCCCTTTTTTTTTTTTTTTTTTTTTGTGAAACAGGCTCTCTCCATCACCCAGGCTACAATATAGTGGCATAATCATAGCTCACTGCAACCTCAAACTCCTGGGCTCAAGTGATACTCTTGCCTCAGCCTCTGGAGTAGCTGGGACTAGAGGCACACTCAGCTACTTTTTATTTTTGTAGACACAGGTCTTGCTATTGCCCAGGCTGGTCTTGAACTCCTGGCCTCCATGATCCTCCCACCTTGGCCTCCCAAAGTGCTAGGATTACAGACATGAGCCACCTTGCCTGGCTTTGTCACAACATATTTATCATGTGCAACAAAAATTTCTCCCCAGTGGATTAGGGAAAGGAAAAAAAAATTGGTTCTTCATCACAGTTTGAAAAGGACTGTTAGTGTAGCAGGAAATAGTATGTTATGCTACATTAAGCTTCTTTAAATATAAGGTGTACTGTTTGTCAGTCTCAGGGGTAGCACAAGTTTCTTTACTTATTTGTGCTATTTTGAGCCTTTCCAGTGATGACATGAATTTAAGAAAGATAGCAACAATATTTTTTAAGTACTGAATTAAAAGAGGGCTTTGCTTGTTAATATCCTTGACATTTGTGGTTAAACTTTCACATTATCATTTTGTTTATAATTTTAGTTAAATAAATATTTACTTAAACTAGTTTCTCTGTATTCATTCTTCAGAAACAGCATCTACATGATCCTTTTTTGTTTTACTAAATTAAACACCCATTTTCTGTCTTAGGTCTGTGGAAAGACTTTTATCTACAAGCATGGTCTAAAATTACATCAGAGTCTCCATCAATCACAAAAGCAGTTCCAGTGTGAACTATGTGTTAAGTCATTTGTTACTAAACGGAGTCTTCAAGAACATATGAGTATTCACACAGGTAATGAGAAGTTTATATTGACATAGTTAGATTTTATATGCTATTACTTATATTGATTATGCTGTAAATATCAGAAATTGATATGCTGATATGTGTGTTCACTTTTTTATTAATGAGACAGTATTTAAAGTTGCAAGGTTTTCTTAAATCTAGTTACAGCTGTGTTATTTTTGTAAAAAGATTCATTGTTTTCTCCAAAAATGTGTACTTAATGACAAATCATGCATAATTTAGATCGAGGCATAAAGAAATGATCATGCTTTTAAAAAGTTGAGTGGTAGGCAAATGTAAATGTCAGCATGGTAGATGGTTTATGCTTTTATTATTTTTTTATCCACACATACTTATTTTCAGATGCTTTAAAGCAGGAATGTGGTATTGGCCAGTGAAGGGTATGTGCCTGCTGTAGAACTTGTATTCATTTCTATTGCTATTACAATCCATAGGTTGTATAAGCATATCACATTCTTTAGGTAGCAGCCTTTGCTAGTAGCATAGTTGTTGAGAGGAAAATACGGATTTTGAAATGGTTTATTGTTATTCTTAGAAGATACCTGCTAAATGTTATAGTTTCCATATCTCCTTGATAAAATAACTTCTGAAATATGACATTAAAGAATTCTGTTAAAAGAAGACTGATTGTTACATTTATAATATGGTTTTTATGTTTTTACAGGAGAGTCCAAGTACCATTGCTCAGTTTGTGGAAAGTCTTTTCATAGGGGCTCTGGACTCAGCAAGCACTTTAAGAAACATCAGCCAAAGCCTGAGGTTCGAGGCTATCATTGCACCCAGTAAGTTATTAATATGTTAAAGATTCAGGCCGGGCGCGGTGGCTCACGCCTGTAATCCTAGCTCTCTGGGAGGCCGAGGTGGGCGGATCGTTTGAGCTCAGGAGTTCGAAACCAACCTGAGCAAGAGCGAGACCCCGTCTCTACTATAAATAGGAAGAAATTAATTGGTCAACTAATATATATAGAAAAAATTAGCTGGGCATGGTGGCGCATGCCTGTAGTCCCAGCTACTCGGGAGGTTGAGGCAGGAGGATTGCTTGAGCCCAGGAGTCTGAGGTTGCTGTGAGCTAGGCTGACGCCATGGCACTCACTCTAGCCTGGGCACCAAAGTGAGACTCTGTCTCAAAAAAAAAAAAAAAAAAAAGATTCAACTAATTTCATTACGTTCTTACTCAATTTATTTGAAAGTTTTGAAAAGAAAGAAAATATTTGAACTTAACATTAAATAGTAATTTCAATTTAATCTTAATTTTAATCAGGTTTTTTTTTCCTATCTGTTCCTATTTTTAACAGTTTTGAGATATAAATCATATACCATACTCAAATCACTCATTTAAAGTGATTTAAAAAGGTTTTCCAGGCTGGGCACGGTGGCTCACACCTGTAATCCTCGCACTCTGGGAGGCCCAGGCGGGAGGATTGCTCGAGGCCAGGAGTTGGAAACCAGCCTGAGCAAGAGTGAGACCCCGTCTCTATAGAAAGAAATTGGCGGTGCGGTGGTTCACGCCTGTAATCCTAGCACTCTGGGAGGCCCAGGCGGGCGGATCGCTCAAGGTCAGGAGTTCAAAACCAGCCTGAGCAAAAGCGAGACCCCGTCTCTACTATAAATAGAAAGAAATTAATTGGCCAACTAATATATATACAAAAAATTAGCTGGGCATGGTGGCGCATGCCTGTAGTCCCAGCTGCTCAGGAGGCTGAGGCAGTAGGATCGCTTGAGCCCAGGAGATTGAGGTTGCTGTGAGCTAGGCTGACTCCATGGCACTCACTCTAACCTGGGCAACAAAGTGAGACTCTGTCTCAAAATAAATAAATAAAAAATAAAGAGGTTTTCCAAATGGTATTTACCAGGGAGTGGGGACTGCAGGAAAGAAGAGTCCTGGCTGGGCACAATGGCTCACGCCTGTAATCCCAGCCCTCTGGGAGGCTGAGATGGGAGGATTGCTTGAGCTCAGGAGTTAGAGACCAGTCTGAGCAAGAGCGAAACCCCATCTCTACTAGAATAGAAAAAATTAGCCGGGTGTGGTGGTGCTTGCCTATAATCCCAGCTACTTGGGAGGCTGAGACAGAAGGATCACTTGAGCCCAGGAGTTTGAGGTTGCTGTGAGCTAGGCTGATGCCATGGCACTCTAGCCCAGGCAGCAGAGTTGAGACTCTGTCTCAAGAAAAAACAAAAAGAAGAGTCCTACTGCCAGCCACAGTTTCTTTCTCCCCCCTTTTCACTTTCCAAAGCCTCTTAAAATCTTTATAAGTGAGGTAAAATTCATATAACATAAAATGAATCATTATTAAAATATATAATTCGGGGGCTTTTAGTAAATTCATAGAATTGTGCAAATATCACTAATGCCAGAATTCCTCTAACATCCAGACAGGCAGTTTACAGCTCTGACTTAGCCCTTACTTCCTGTTTGTGCAGATTCAGGTCAGCCAGAAGTGAGAGCCTGGGGCTTTTTCAGGTCTCGAAGTCAGAGAGTTTGAGTAGATTAATGTAAACTGTGTTTAGACTCATTATGATTTCTCTCAGGCTCTTAGGGACAAGACAATGGCAGTGGTTTAAACTTTATATCCTCTCAAATTCCAAATTGTCAAGCTTCTTTTCTGGTAGTTCCTATAAAAGCCTTGAGGTTCACTCTGATTACATCCAGTGAAGTCATTTGGTCATTCCTTGGTCAGTCACTATGGCCAAAGGAATGCTGTGTTCTGATTGACTTAGGCCCGAGTTGTTGCTTCATATCTAGGGTCAAGAGTAAAGCCTACCCTCCATACATAGAGAATGAGAGGGGTGAATGGGGTTGTAAAAAGGGGATCAGATCGGGGAGGGGAAGATGCACAGATTTCCTCTATAATAACCCTTGGGAACTATGCATGGTTTTTAGTTTATTTGAGACAGACAAACATGCCACTGTACATGCTCTGTTGCCCTGGGTGGAGTACAGTGGCATGATTAATAGCTCACTGCAACCTCAAACTCCTGGGCTTAAGCGATCCTCCTGCCTCAGCCTCCTGAGTAGCTGGAACTACGGGCACACACCACCACACCCAGCTAACTGTTTTAAAAAAAAATTTGTAGAGATGGGGTGTCACCATGTTTCCCAAGCTGGTCTTGAACTCCTGGCCTCAAATGAGCCTCCATACCCTGCCTATGCATAGCTCTCTTTAAAACTGTTTCTAGTGCTCTAAAGATAAAAGAATTTAAAACTCTATAGCCTTGATGCAAGATTGGAATATTAGGGAATTCTTTTGTTTTAAATTGGGATCATCTTCTGGAGTTCTAGGAGCTTAAAAACATACTGAATTCTAGGAAACCTGTATTGAAGAAATAAGATGATCCAACTGGGTAATTGAACTTTATTGCAGATGTGAAAAAAGTTTCTTTGAAGCTAGAGATCTTCGCCAACACATGAACAAACATCTTGGTGTGAAGCCATTCCGGTGCCAATTTTGTGATAAGTGCTATAGTTGGAAGAAAGATTGGTATTCCCATGTGAAGTCTCATTCTGTCACTGAGCCTTATAGGTGGGTAAATTTGAGAAGAATCTGAACTTGAGATGTATATGTATTTTGATTGATTCTATGGCTGCTGGTGATTTGGAAAAAATAATTTGACCCTTTCCCCTATTTTAGGTGTAATATATGTGGTAAAGAATTTTATGAAAAAGCTTTGTTCAGAAGGCATGTAAAGAAAGCTACCCATGGGAAAAAAGGGAGAGCAAAGCAAAACCTGGAACGGGTATGTGAACAATGTGGAAGAAAGTTCACTCAGCTAAGAGAGTATAGAAGACATATGAACAACCATGAAGGTAAGTGTACTTAGTATTATTATATGTATCTAAATAGAATAAAAGCCAAACCAGTAGTGATTCTCCCTTTACCAGCCCTCTTACATGAGAGGAAATTGATTTCATATTTCTATATCAACGTCGTTATACTGAACTACATTGTTTGAAGCCTCTGTTGCATTACCCTAGGATTATAGGATTGCTGTGAAGAAATAATTGAAATTATGCATGGAAACTAAAATTTGTTTCTCAGTAACTTCTGTCCATGAGAATGTCGTTAGATTATAATTCAGAATCTTATTTATTCTAAGGAAAACCATTAGGTACTAAGTAAAAGATTATCATAGTCAAGATAGAAAGATTTACAGGCTGCTGTATTTTTTTTAATTTTTAAAAATTGACGATTTAAATATATTTTGGTATTTGCACCTCACCACACATGTACTTTTTTTTTTAATAGGAGTTAAGCCATTTGAGTGCTTAACATGTGGAGTAGCTTGGGCTGATGCCCGATCTCTAAAACGCCATGTCAGAACACATACCGGTGAACGGCCCTACGTCTGTCCTGTATGTAGCGAAGCCTACATAGATGCGCGAACACTCCGTAAACATATGACTAAATTTCACAGAGACTATGTGCCTTGCAAAATTATGCTGGAAAAAGATACCCTTCAGTTTCATAACCAAGGAACTCAAGTGGAGCATGCAGTTAGCATCTTAACAGCAGACATGCAGGATCAAGGAAGCAGTTGTCCTCAAGAACTTGAGACTGTGGTAGTGACAGGAGAAACTATTGAAGCTCTCGAGGCTGTTGCAGCTACCGAAGAGTGCCCATCAGTATCTACGCTTTCTGACCAAAGTATTATGCAAGTAGTTAATTATGTATTGGCACAACAGCAAGGACAGAAGCTATCTGAAGTTGCAGAAGCTATTCAAACTGTCGAAGTAGAGGTGGCACATATTTCAGAAGCAGAATGAATGTAGTAATGAAGATAAAAAGAAGTGACATCTCATGTATACTGAGCTCACAGATTATTTGTTTACGATACCATATGACTGTCCACTGAGCGTTTACAAGTCAAGGCTCTGGACTATTTGGTGATATAACATTTTCCAAACCTTTTGTCTGGCCAATGGGTTCTGTAGAAAAGTCCATTAACTGTAAAGAAATTGAAAACAAATACATTTGATGGCAGTGGGTTATCATGATATACCTTTTATGAATTAATGTTTATAATGACTGTACTAAATTTAAGACTGTACAGTTCTCATTTGCATTTTTACATCTTATTATATATTTTGAGTTTAAAAGGCTGCACCAGTTGGCTTTTTTTCTGTTTTTTTCTCAAAATATAGAGATTCTGTGATTTCATTTGCCCTGTTTATGGATTAAAAAAATTCTAATATAAAGCATTTCAGTAGAATGCATAGGTATATTACGCTTTTTAAATGCTTTAGATCTGTGATTCTTGACTTACTATTTATTTTAACCCCTTTTAAGTCAGGGATTCTTTATTCTATTTTAAAGCACTTAATGAGTTACATGTTGTAATCAAGTTTGCACAATGTATTTATCTATATGGGAAGCCCATAAATGAATAGCTTAATTTTTTAAAATGCCATTAAAATGCATGAAATGCCTACTAAAGCCTTACTATACTCTCTTCAAGGCAAGTAAATTGACCATGAGAAAAGAACACCCTTATTAAACACTGTTGATGGGAAATTTCTCCTTGATAACATAGGACAATAAAAAAAATCTCATTCTTTTGCTGAAGAATGAACGAGTTAATGAACAAGTTAGGTTTGCTATGGTTTCAGTTTTGTATCATGTTTAATTGTTTAATTTTGTTGAAAAACTGCAGTTGAAAAATAGGATAGCAATATAAACATTACAGCGGTCCTGTGGATACCATATAATTGTCAAGTAATTTCAGAATATTGAAATTCTTCAGTATAGCCCTCATTATAATACTTGAAGAAATTGATTATGGTCCCACCAAATTGTTGAAGATAATTTACTTTTAAAAGTTAAACTGAAAACTAAATTTTATTAATTCATGTGTTTGATTTTTAAATTCCCACCTCTTTAAGCAATCCAATTTTCTGGTTTTCAAAATAACCATGGGGAGATGCCACATTTCTCTCTAGGAAACTACTACTCAAGCTATAATCGTTAAAATTAAGCTTTTAGGTATTAAAAGCTGTTATAAGATATAAAATTAAGATATAAGCAGATCACATGTAAATCATTCCTAAAGCACAAGAAAAGAAGGTGCCTTGATGTACATATATTAATTAAAATGCTTATACCAGTTTACTTTAAAAATGGCTTTAAAGATAAAGAATAAATGTGATAGTTGTGCATGCATTATACTTGTATATATAATATTTGCATTTGCAAATTTCCCATTGTCTTAATAGCTGTGTGGCTGACTTTCAATTTTAAGAAGTGAATTGACATACAGCCCATAACTTTAAAATGGCTGCTCGTTTATATCTTTCTGTTAGTGAAAAAGTATTTCAACCTGACTAAAATTTGGAATTGTCTTTTATGTTCCATCCTTACCATTGTTATCAGATTTAATTATTGTATAAGACCATTAATGTGTGTCACAAATATGTAAATAAAAGATGTTGAATCTTGTTTAAAAGCATAAGCTTTGGAGTTGAGCTTGCCAATAATTTTAATTCATAAATCAGTTGCTATTATTAAGTATGTTATTAAGTTAATCCATTTTTAAAGGGAAAAGGAATTGAACCCTAAAAATAACTATTGGAGGAACACTTCATAATATTATCACTTCTTAAATATAACCTTATCACAAAATTAAATACAGTGCAATTAACTGTCAACTTTGGATAATTTAAAGTTGTAGAATTATGTAAATTCCATATAAAAAAAACTGTTAAGTTTCCAAAAATTTGGAACCTTTTAATGTTGCGATGGGGGAAACTGCTATATTTAACTTTTTTTTTTTTTTTTTTTGAGACAGAGTTTCTCTTTGTGCCCTGACTAGAGTGAGTGCCATGGCGTCAGGCTAGTTCACAGCAACCTCAAACTCCTGGACTCAAGCAATCCTTCTGTCTCAGCCTCCCGAGTAGGTGGGACTACAGGCATGCACCACCATGCACGGCTAATTTTTTGCATATATATTTTTAGTTGGCCAATTAATTTCTTTCTATTTTTAGTAGAGATGGGGTCTTCTCAGGCTGGTTTCAAACTCCTAACCTCCAGCGATCAGCCTGCCTCTAAGTCCTGGGCTCAAGCAATCCTATGTCTCAGCCTCCTGAGTAGCTGGGACTACAGGCACATACACGCCACCATGCCCGGCTAATTTTTTCTATATATATTTTTAGTTACCCAGCTAATTTCTTTCTATTTTTCTTATAGAGGGGATCTCACTCTTGCTCAGGCTGGTCTCAAACTCCTGAGCTCAAACAATCCACCCACACCCACCCTGCACCTCCCAGGGTGCTAGGATTACAGGCGTGAGCCACTGCACCTGGCCTAAAAATATTTTTTTAAAACAATAAATTTTTTAAATTCCTTTTTGGAAACATGAAAGTGTTTTGTTGTCGTCAGATGACTTCCAAAAACTGTGTCTCCTGATCAGATCTGACAGGCCAGGCACAGTGGCTCATGCCTGTAATCCTAGCACTCTGAAGTCAGGAGTTCAAGACCACCCTGAGCAAGAGTGAGACCCACTTCTCTACTAAAATTAGAAAAGATTAGCCAGATGTGGTGACACACACTTGTAGTCCCAGCTACTCAGGAGGCTGAATTAGGAGGATCGCTTGAGCCCAGGAATTTGAGGTTGCCATGAGCTAGGCTGATGCCAGGGCACTCTAGCCCAGGCAGTAGAGCGAGACTGTTTCTCAAAAAAAAAATCTGAGGGTTATAAGCCCTTTGACCACTTGTTACTGTTACAAAACAATTTGCATCAGTGCTGTAAGTCACTGAAATGCATGTATTGTCAATAGAAATGAATTAAGTAATTCTGTAACATGAATTTTAGTCTTCATTTTGTTAAAAGCCAGCGGTTATTTGCAGAATTTCACAAATCACTTAAACTGCCAGAGTTAGAGCTAATCTAAACCGTTGGGAGGTTTTTATTCTTATTGTTATCATTATAGCATTGGTATAAACTATCTGTGCCTGATGCTTTCTGTTTATTATTTTTCCTTTCAAACCTATAATCTCCTTGGAGGTTTCTAATGGGTTTTATATCTAATGTTTGAAACATACGCAGTACAAGTTAGTCTTGTCTCCTCCATTCTATGAATTTTTTTTAGCTGTTCAAGAGTTTATTTTTTCTTTTTTTTTCTCTTTTTGAGACAGAGTCTCACTTTGTTGCCCAGGCTACAGTGAGTGCCATGGCGTCAGCCTACCTCACAACAACCTCAAACTCCTGGGCTCAAGTGATCCTCCTGCCTCAGCCTCCCGAGTAGCTGGGACTACAGGCATGTGCCAGCTAATTTTTTCTATGTATATTAGTTGGCCAACTAATTTTTTTTTATTTATGGTAGAGACGAGGTCTCGCTCTTGCTCAGGCTGGTTTCGAACTCCTGACCTTGAGCAATCTGCCCGCCTCGGCCTCCCAGAATGCTAGGATTTACAGGCGTGAGCCACCGCGCCCGGCCTATTTTTTCTTTATTTCAGCATATTATGGGGGTACAAATGTTAAGGTTACAAATATTACCCTTGCCTTCCCTGCCCCCTCGAATTCTATGAATTTATCAGTAATAATTTTAAATGTGGAGCAAAAATACATAATTTATTTAGTCATTTTAAATATACTTATAGTCTTTTATCTGAAGTGGTTTTGGATTTTTTTGGTTTTTTATTTTTTTTCTTTTTGGCTAGTCAAGTGAAGCACTGGGAATGGAGAAGGAACAAAGAAATCTGTAACTAGTTGTGATCAATTGGTTGTAAATTGAACCAGCCATTAGAGTATGAGCTCATCTCCCATAGAGCCTGCTATGGTTTGAGTGTTTGTGTCCCCTCTGGAATTCCTGTTGAAACTTATTTCCCAGTGCGGCAGGCAGTATTAAGAGATGTGGCCTTTGGGGAGGATTAGTTTAAAGGCTTTGCCCTTGTTAATGGATTAGTGCCTTATAAGAGGACTGGAGCACGTACTAGTTGAACACCTTTTTGTCCCTTTTGCTCTTCTACCATGCAGGGATGCAGCCACAAGATGCCATCTTGCAAGCAGAGAGTAGCCTTCAGCAAGCACAGAGCCTACTGGCACCATGATCTAAAGACATCCCAGGCCAGGCGCGGCGCAGTAGCTCACGCCTGTAATCCTAGCACTCTGGGAGGCCAAGGCTGGTGAATTGCTCAAGGTCAGGTGTTCGAAACCAGCCTGAGCAAGAGCGAGACCCGTCTCTACTATAAATAGAAAGAAATTAATTAGCCAACTATTATATATACAAAAAATTAGCCGGGCATGGTGGCAACTATTATATATACAAAAAATTAGCTGGGCATGGTGGCGCATGCCTGTAGTCCCAGCTACTCGGGAGGCTGAGGCAGCAGGATTGCTTGAGCCCAGGAGTTTGAATTGGCCTTCCTGCCCCTCGATATTCTATGAATTTATCAGTAATAATTTTAAATGTGGAGCAAAAATACATAATTTATTTAGTCATTTTAAATATACTTATAGTCTTTATCTGAAGTGGTTTTGATTTTTGGTTTTATTTTTTTTTTCTTTTGCTATCAAGTGAAGCACTGGGAATGGAGAAGGAACAAAGAAATCTGTAACTAGTTGTGATCAATTGGTTCTAAATTGAACCAGCCATTAGAGTTGAGCTCATCTCCCATAGAGCCTGCTATGGTTGAGTGTTTGTGTCCCTCTGGAATTCCTGTTGAAACTTATTTCCCAGTGCGGCAGGCAGTATTAAGAGATGTGGCCTTTGGGAGGATTAGTTAAAGGCTTTGCCCTTGTTAATGGATTAGTGCCTTATAAGAGGACTGGAGCAGTACTAGTTGAACACCTTTTTCCCTTTTGCTCTTCTACCATGCAGGGATGCAGCCACAAGATGCCATCTTGCAAGCAGAGAGTAGCCTTCACCAAGCACAGAGCCTACTGGCACCATGATCTAAAGACATCCCAGGCCAGGCGCGGCGCAGTAGCTCACGCCTGTAATCTAGCACTCTGGGAGCCAAGGCTGGTGGATTGCTCAAGGTCAGGTGTTCGAAACCAGCCTGAGCAAGAGCAAGACCCGTCTCTACTATAAATAGAAAGAAATTAATTAGCCAACTAATATATATACAAAAATTAGCCGGCATGGTGGCGCATGCCTGTAGTCCAGCTACTCGGGAGGCTGAGGCAGCAGGATTGCTTGAGCCAGGAGTTTGAGGTTGCTGTGAGCTAGGCTGATGCCATGGCACTCACTCTAGCCTGGGCAACAAAATGAGACTCTGTCTCAAAAGAAAAAAAAAAAAAGACATCCAGCCTCCAGAACTGTGAAAAAATGAATTCCGTTGTTACAAATTATACCCAGTCTGTGCATTTTGTTGTAGCAGCACAAATGACTAAGACAGGGCCTTATTTTGGAGAATCTTATGCCACCTACATAGGTTGAGGATGGTTCCTTCCAGATCAGTTTTTTCCAGGATTATCAATGGCTAGATTCTTTACATTACAAAGGCTATTTTTATATTAACTTCTCTATGGTTTCACAGATGAACAATTGTAAATTTGAACTCTACACAGTGTGAGACTAGCCTATTCTAAATCTTCAAGGGAGGCTTTTGGCCTCCCTTGAAGGCTTAGAATATATCCTTATCACATATACCTTATCTCTCTGGGCTGGGAGAAATATCTCTCAGGCTATGAATGGATTTATTTTCTCGTTTGTGTTTCACCCAAGGTATAGATCTTCACTGGTCCCAGCTTTGTGTACAGTTCTCAGATTCAATTTTTTTTTTTTTTTTTTTTTTTTGAGACAGAGTCTCGCTTTCTTGCCTAGGCTAGAGTGAGTGCCGTGGCGTCAGCCTAGCTCACAGCAACCTCAAACTCCTGGGCTCAAGCTATCCTCCTGCCTCAGCCTCCCGAGTAGCTGGGACTACAGGCACAAGCCACCATGCCGGCTGATTTTATATAATATTAGTTGGCCAATTAATTTCTTCTATTTTTATGGTAGAGACGGGGTCTCGCTCAGGCTGGTTTGAACTCCTGACCTGAGCAATCGCCCGCCTCGCCTCCCAGAGTGCGGGATTACAGGCGTGAGCCACAGCGCCCGGCCTCAGATTCAATTTTGTGGACTGGAATCCTAATCCCTTATCACCATTTGCTTCCAAAGCCAGCCCTTTGACATTGGCAATCTCATCTACTATAGGCTACTACTACAGTTTCAACTCAGTTTCCTCTTATTTCCTTTATACAACATTCCTTTCTACAAGCTTCAGTACCATGACTGTAAAAGGATATTTGTTATGTATTATCAAGCAGAGATTTTGAAGTATTTAGAATGCCAAATGCTGGAAAACCAACTGTTTTTTGTTTTATTTTTCTTTTAGCTTGTAAACTAAAATAAAATTTTAAGGCTTACCCCTACCGGCTGACTAAATGGACCCCTTCGTGGCCAAAGGAATATCCTAAAACTAAATTGTCTGCCAAAGCAGGGAGATCAGATAACCTCATCATGCCCCCCT